TTTACTGTTTTATGACAGTAAGACAAAGCTTGCTTATACAAATATTACAGTTGTGGGCTTCTCAGTGAAAAATATATGCAATTTTATTCGTAAAATTCTATTAGACCCAGCCATTACAAATATTTTGCTGTAAGACTGTGGCTTGACAATTTTCCATTTGTTTCCCTAAAATAACAAAATTTGCTAAGAAATCTTAAAGCAGGAAACATTAATTACCAAACCAAAATATTAGAAATTCACTAAAAGTTTATCGGTTTTTGAATTTCACATGGGGGACAGAAAAATGGCTTCTCAGATAAACTATTTCTGAAAGAAAGGAAAAAAAAGAAGGATAGAAAGAGAAAGAGAAGAAGAAGGAAGGGTTAAATAAATCAAATAGTGCATTGATTCTTCCCAACCAAGTTCAGAGATGGTAACATGACCCAAGTCAAACAATTAGGGCTGAAAAGAATCAATGTAAGGATCTTTGTTAGGACTGTCAGAAAACAGTTTCTATCTCCCACTTTCTCTCTTGCTTCCCTCCTCTGCTTCAAGGCCTTTCTCCATCAGCCTTTGGACATGGTGTTGTTATGATACGAAGCGACCCTGACCTATCCCTCCAAATCTAAGAAAGGAACCAATGGAGAGAAATTAGAGCTGGAAGTTGGATCCTGATTTTTCAACTTTTTAAATACTGAGTCAAGCTATGCCTGAAAATAATCCTGCAATTGGTTGTCTGAACAAAAATATTCCTTTGATGCTGAGGCAATTTCGGTTGAGTTTTTCACTTCCTGCTGAATGAGTTCTAAGTGATACAACCCTATTTTCCAGCCTTAATTCTAGATGCTGAAACCAAAAATATTCTGTTAAATGTAAGTTACAGAACCTGAACTCCAGCAAGCTTGGGACCATCACATAATTTCATCTGTCTCACTGTTTTTACACATTGTTCACCTGGAGGTCTCAACTCCATCTTGGACTGATATATAGTCAATTTATCATTTCAGCTTAAAATGGCAAAGCATATCTTCAAATTACTATTGATAGCACTCAGAAACAGTGAGTGCTAACTCCATTTAAATTCAGCTCACATAGTTTCTCCACTTAAGCATCACTGATAATTCTACAATACCGATTACCCCGTTCAAGAAAGTTTTGTGTTATGGGCTATGAATCAGTTTGAGAGACTTGACACTAATTTCTCATTCCCAATATAGACTGTATTTCACAAAGGGGATATAGGAACACAGAAAATATTTAAAAATCTTTAGAATGATATGACATTGTTTTTCAAAGGCTGTTTCATATTTCAAAAATTAGGATTCTTTTCTTTGTTGTGTATCCCCAAATGTTACAAAATGCTATCACTAAAAGTACATACACCAGTAGAGAGGTAATGACTACAAAAAATAAAATTAGTTTCCTTCTATTGGTACATATATAAGTAAATTTTAGTGCTTTATGGCCACATTCCAAAATCAATATTTATTTATTAATGTACATATCAATTCATGTATTTGACCAGCACCTTCTGAATGCACACTTTATACCAAGAGTGATATATTTCACTTACATTTCCTATCTGGTTTTAAATTGCCCTTGAATCTGCTTCCTTTGTTTAATATAGACGTTAGAGATAATTATTTATTCCATGTGTTCAAAATGTAATGGTACAGACAACACTTAGAATTGAAAAAAAAAAAAAAAAAACCCACTTTCCCTAACATCATTGGGAAAACTTGGCCATCAATTACACATATTCTTTTGTCCATTTATTTTGATCCCAATAGAATAATAAGTGTGATAGTCATATACTCACACAGCTATTTAAACGATATTTTAATTTTCAATTTAAAAGAAATAGAACTATTAAAGAGATAGACATCAATGGGGAAAAAAAAAAAAGTTACACAAATTAGTCTAAGCTACTATAAGATCGATTTTCCCAAACAGAAAACAAAATCAAGTTACTCATCTCTCCTCAATTCTTCAAACATGTCCTTAATAAGAGTGAAACATGTACCACCAAACCAATGGCTGGCCGGGCGCAGTGGTTTACGCCTGTAATCCCAGCACTTTGGGAGGCCAAGACGGGCGGATCACGAGGTCAGGAGATAGAGACCATTCCGGTGAACATGGTGAAACCCCGTCTCTACTAAAAATACAAAAAAAAAAAAAATTAGCCGGTGTGGTGGCGGGCGCCTGTAGTCCCAGCTACTCGGGAGGCTGAGGAGGGAGAATGGCGTGAACCCAGCAGGCGGAGCTTGCAGTGAGCAAAGATCGCGCCACTGCACGCCAGGCTGGGCAGACCGAGACTCCATCTCAAAAAAAAAAAAAAAAAGGTATACAAAAGCCCCTTCCAAGATACTTTACTTACTTTTTGTGTCTGTAACTTTATATAATTTTTTTCTTTAAAAGATTTCCCAAATTATGTTACTTCAAAACCCTAAACAACCTGAATTGGTCCTGCCTAATTATTAGTACCATACATCATTTGAGACGTTGCTTTTAAAATATCCCAGTTAGTTTAACAATAGTTAGTTACTGTACATCTGTAGGAAAGTTTGCTTTCATTTTAATTATATTTTTTAACACCTTCTGTATCAATCTTTAAGGAAAAGTACTGCCTTGACATTGTTTTATAAGATCCCTTTGGTCCTGTGTCTCGATAGAATAAACTAGAAACAGACTTGAAAGCTGACAATCTACTAAGGCCAAATATTGCAGTCTAACATGTAAAATATAAAGACGTATTTTTTAAAAGAGCCATCATGCTATGCATAAAATTATTTGCAATTATTCTTTATGTACAACTGTAATTTTCTCACTTTCAATATATAATAATAATAATTGCTAGTGCTGTTTGAGCATTCCATTATTTGCCAGTCGATGTGTGAGGTGCTGGGAATACATTATTTCACTGACTCTTCACAACAGCCTTTGCGATGGTCATCAACCTTAGCCCCATTCTACAGGTAAGGAAATTGAGAAATATGCCAAGAAAATCAATGATAATGCACTGTATATAATACACATAGTATATGTAGTGTGTATGTGGATATATATGTACATATATTGCAATATACATATATTGCCATATGCAGCATATGGAACCTGGTTATTTTAGAATTTACTAGTAGAAATTTCAAATAAAAAGCATAACACACATTACCTATCTTACATTAGATTCTAAGATCACAGTAAGAAGGACCAAAAAGAAAACATAAATAAAACATTTTATTTTCAACATAATCCAGGGAGGGTTTCAACCCATAATTACAAAATAGCTTTGAAGAAAATATTTAAGTGAGTATGACATGCATTTTCATGTACCCCTTCACAAATATATCTGTTTTACTAAAAATACAAACACTGAAGTCAAATACACTCATTTTAATTATGTATTTTCTGCAAATGAATAATACTCAGAAAGTTATGAAATTATAGTTGTAATGCCCCATGACCTATGCCCTGCACCATATTATACCTGTAACAGTATGTCAAATTCCTGTAGAGTAATTTGATACATGAATGAGAATATTATTAAATAAAAGAAGATGAATATCAAGGCCCAGGATAAAGTAATTGTGCAATATAGATTTAATTTGCAAAAGAAATGAATAGTAAATATGAATCACCAAAATATAATTAGAAGATACAATGAAATCTTGGAGAAATTACAGAATATCACACTGAACTAAATCAAGCCCAAATAGCACTTGGAGGAAAAAAGAGTCAAAGTTTCCCTTGGGTTTTAGGTGAATAGCATTACTCCTAGCACAAGAGGACAACCTTTTCAGAGGAGCTTCTCTAATGCAACGATAAGTCAGTAAGTTATAAATTAGGCAAATCAAAATTACTTATCATGTACATGTTAGGAAATATCATAGACAATTTTACCTACTGAGAAATCAGCAAATATTTCCAAAGGTGTAAGAAAAGAATATATTCCGCCTTAAAAATATATGAATGCATGGAATGAGGGGCATCATGCTTAGTTATGGTAGATATTTAACAAATATTTGTTGAAAGCATTTTTAAAAAAGAGAGCCAGGCTTTTCTTCCAGAGAGGTATGGTGTCTGGCTATGTCTCAGTACCTAAGATAGATGTCTCAGTTATCTATTCTGATTACATAATTTTGTGGCTTAAAGTGACAACCATTTTATTTGTTTATGAATTGTGGGTCAGCAATTTGGGCTGGCCTGAGTTGCTTAGTTCTTCTGCTGGTCTCACCTGGCGTCACTCTTGTGACTATAATTATCTGGAGGTTCTAATATGTGTGAATGGTCTCAGGTGGCCTCATCCACATGTCTGGCCATTGGAGCTGCTGTTAGCCAGGTCACTTGTCCTCAGCAGAGGAATCCATGTTTCTTCACATAATGGTAACATTTTTTGAAAAGAACAAGAGTAGAAGCTACATAGTTTCTGGAGGATTAGGCTTGAAAATTATACCATATCACTTCTGCAATCCCTATTGTTGAAAGCAAGTAAAAAGGCCAGTTCAGATTCAAAGAGAAGAGAAACACACATCTATTCTTGATGAGAAGCACTGCAATGAATTTGTGGCCATTTTGAATTCAAGAGGTAACAACATAGCTTACAGATAGGAAAACATCACAGGGCTTACTTTAGAAAAGATTTGTCCTGATAACAGTTATATCTGGAATTAAGCCCAGATTTTGACTGCCTATCATCAAGCCCCTCTGTCACAGAAATAACACCAGTGATTCAAGATGAGAAAATGAGTTTGTCAAGTGACTTCTTTTCCACTCTCTGCCAAAGGGAAGAGGTAACAAGAGTAACACCTGAAGCACTCATTAAGAGCATCAACAGCAGTCTACACAAATAGTACAGCAAAAGAAGAAGAGGTGAGTGGAAGGCAGAGCATGATAAGACAAATGCCAGGGTGTTAATGATGGACAGAATGATCTGTAAGTTTCACCCCACCATGATATCGCAGTATGTTCTGATTCTTTTGCACTAGGAAACATGTTAACCTGAACATTTATTTATTACTTACAGCATACCAGTCCGTTTAAATGGCTTGCCAGTCCCTCCTGCAGATGGGAACTGAAAATTAAAGACAGCAAATCACCCAAAATCACACAGTCTATTTTATCAAAAAGTTTTAGTATATATTTATATCCCAGACTCAGGATGCAAATACCTTCTCAATATAAACAACTACAGAATCTCCTAGTGGATAAAGTGTTTTTATAAACTACATAAGACATGGCAATTTATAGAGTACCATAAGCACATGAGTAACTAAAAATAGGATATATGATCAGAGGATGCTCATCATCCTTGAAGGAGATTAAAAACACATTTTTTTGTAATAATCAATGGAAAACAGCCATAAGCAGTAGGATAAAAGGGCAATCCCCTAGGTGTAGCCGACAGAGCATCCTCTTTAGAATCAAAAATTTTTGGATTTTAATTCTAGCCCTATCATCTTAGCTGTATAATCATGGGCAAGCAAATTAACCACACTGGGCCTCAATATGTTCCCCTAAAAAACAGAGACAATCATGATAAAGTTGTAGGGTTAGTGCATAGAGTAGAGAAAAGTAAAAATCTACAGTGCTAGGAAAAGACCACCTTCTCAGAATATGATGAAGATGATGCTGATGGTCATGGTCATCTGTTATATATTATCCAAGTTATATTAGCATCTTTCAGTGCTGTCCTCAGCAAGTACATGGAAAGCTCACGTGCTTGTTTCAGAGGATGAAGCCTTAGACTTTTATTTAGCCTTAGGTCCTTATTTTACCAACGTACCTAGCAACCTTATTATTTATGTTCTTAGTAAGTTCCTATCACGAACTTTAAAAGGAAGGCAAGTACATTGAAAACAATTAGCTATATAAGAGCAAAGAAAATCAAAGAAACACTTTACAGTTGAGACAGAAAGAACAAAAGAAGGGGCAAATTTATGAACTGCCTTAAACATGTCTTGGATTGGTCCCCAAGGGTCTTCTGCAATTGCTAACATACATAATGAAGAAGTCATTAAGGAAATAACTATATTTATATGTGGTGTGTTGATCTTGACAACTATTTGAATTCACATCAAATGCAAAATTTTAAAAAATTTTTAAACAGGATGCCTAAAGACAATACCATTCAAGACTATGGATAATGTTGATAACCAAAAGACTCATTTGACCAGGATACTTAGTCAAGTAAGTTTACGTGTCATTTTCTTCTGTATTCAAATTATTTTTCCCCTTTTTAGGAATTAGATAACCTCATATAGAGGCTGAAAAACTGCTAGGAGCTTAATAATCAATTTTATTAAACAATGGAGGAGGTAACAAAAATTAATTTAGTAAATAATATAGAGATCAATGGCATCTAGAGGAAAAGGTGTGAGAATGTCATCAAGACTGATTCAGGATTAGGGCTCCTCTCTGAAAGAATATTTGTTTCTCACTCTAGATTGCAACTTTTCTAGAGTGGCATCTATGCCATTTTGGCTTCTGTGACTTAAAGGAGAAATGTTTAGCAGAAAATCTAAGTATGCATTAAATGCCAAATAAATATGTGTTAATGGAATTAAAGCATATACTTGAGTCATTCTTGTCTAGAACAGAGAGCTCATGATGCAGCCAGCCAATCACCTTAGAGTAAGGTGAAAATGTACTCTTCTTGTGTTGCTCCATTTCATTGTTGTTCATATTTATTATGAACAATAACATTAAAATATATTAGTGAATTTTCTCTCACTATTTATTGGAAAAGATTTAAGCAACTTGGTTATCATGAGTAAATCAAATGATCTGAATGTTCGAAAAGTGCCAGAACTCATAATAGCAAATACGTTTAATCCAGTGTTCAGATTGACCAGTTGTTGTATCTTGAAGAAGTAAACTTAGTGTGTAATTGGATTGTTTGTAATTCAAGAGATAAATGTTTGAAGGGATGGATACCCCATTCACAATGATGTGCATAGTTCGTATTGCGTGCCTGTATCAAAATATCTCATGTACCCCAGAAATATATACACCTACTATGCACCCACAAAAATGTTTAAAAATGATTTTTAATTTTTTAAAAAAGAGGTATATATGTTAAGAACTCCAATGCCAGGCTCAGCGGGAAAGAAAACATTGATCAAATTGTAACATCTAAAATAAGTGTAGGCTGGAGAGTTACAGCATTTTCTTGCTTTGTCTGCTCCAAAAGCACGCAAGTAATGGCGCTGCTTAACTGGATGGTAGTCTACCCACGTGGGTTGTTGGCATGCTTAAGTGAAAATTTGGATAACAAATGAAGACCTTCCAGAAAATGGTGATGATGAAGACTAATGACAGCTAACATTTATTGACCATTAAAGGCAAAAGGACTTGAAATCATGATATACAGAAAACTGTCCTAAACCAGTTTACGGCCAAGATGTGTTTAGTCATAAGCACAGCAATTGTGGTTTGGAAATTTCAAGGAACTCAGCGCAAATACTTGAAGTACTACCATTAGGAATTAGACTTGTGTGCCTCTTTCTACCATGTTAAAAATAATTAGAAGCTACAAGATGCCAGAGTTTTGGCTCAAGTTAAAAGAGAAAATTATAATACATCTATATGAAAGTGAAATAATATATTTTAGGTGGAGTGATTTGGGAATTACTAAAGTTACTCAAGCTTAGTCAAGATGACCACTTGGCAGAGATGCTTTAAAAAAAAATTAAGATTTAATATACATGTCAGGAGAACTTACAAGTTGTCTAATGCCATGTCCATCAGAGATTAAAATGAATAAATTTGAACATCTTTGGGTAAGTCATGCACTCTCCAGTATATTAGAAATACAGTCTATGATTTCTTAAACTCAGCGAGATTCTCTGCTTTACATCTTCTGCCTGGTTCCTGAAGACACTGGACTATATGACCCCTGGTCTGACGAGCTTTTGAAGCCATACAATTGTCACCTCCTTTATACTTTCCCTCTTCATGCTTACGCTAGCTAATGATGAGATGATCATGGTGATGATGACAATGATAATCACAGTCAGGTGCCTAATGAACTATATCACTGAAACCTCCAGACAGCCTGATTGCATAAGTTATATTATTACCCCTCTTTCTCTGGTGAGGATTATGATGCTCAGAGAAGTTCAAAGACTTGTTCAAGGTTATACAGGACTGTGACCGAGGGAGGCAGAATTCCATAGTTCCTTTTAATTTAACTGCTGCACAATACCAACCTCTACGAAACACAGCCATGATTTCTTAATTTCTTCTCTCTCTCCTACTACAAAGTGTAGAACATCAAAATAGAACTAAAAGTTTCAGCTCATAAATTACTTTCAAGCTTATTCATTTGTTTGTATTTTTCATGTTACTAAGAAAATGAGTTATTGAGGTCAGGTCCCAATGTCCAGTTATACATTGTTTAAGTGTCTGATATTTAAAAAGTCAATACATGGCAAATATCCTAACATAATTCCTAAAAATAACCTTAAACTTTTCATAAAGTTAGACCTAGTTTTATTGAGTGTAGGATTCCAAATTAAAATATTTGTGAATATTAATGATCTCAAGATATCTATCCACATAAAATAAAGCATATTCACTACTCATGTAGCGTTCAATGCTGCCATATAAATTATATGTAGTTTAATGTTGCTGTACAAATGTCTAAACACTTATAAAAACAAGTGTAAATAAACCACTCAAAAACTTGACAAATCTTCACACCATAAAAAAATAATAAAAGGAGAGCTAACTAATAAGAAAAGTACCACATCCTATATTTGCAAAAGAGATAAGAGAAAGTTAGGCTTCATAGCAATGTAGTCGGTATGTCCCCACTAGTAAATCACATTAATACAAATATTCTAGTACTTGGGAGGTAATACCACTAAAATCCATGGAAAACCTACTTGAAGATAGAAAATAAGGAATAAAAACGAACACTGAAATCAAGAAGTAAATTGAAGTTTGTCCTGCAAGGCTCTTTAGCACTTCCTCAAAAGAGCTGAATGTGGTGGAGTGAAAATAGATCAAGATAAACAGCATTGTTTAGGCTTCCATTCCTGATTAAATATACTATTTTTGATTGAGCATCTATTGAATGAATTATTTTTTTGTTGTTTTTTTCTAAGAATTCAGACACTGCTCCCAGAATTTGTTGAAACCTTAATCATTTAATGTATTACTTCTTTTCTAGAGTCTTTTATTATTGTAAAATCTAAAATAGATTCAATTTTCTATCAAAATTCTACAATTGTTTCCCACGAGGATTATAATACCATTTTCAAAATATTTGATTTGGAAGATTTTTTAGAGCAATAAATTATATCCATGCTCCCACACACATACAAAAAAAAATGCAAGAACAGTGTGAGCTTTTGAGTTTTGAAAGATTTCTTTTGTAAAAAGATATATTTTCTTATTTTAAGTTCTGGGATACATGTGCAGGATGTGCAGGTTTGTTAAATAGGTAAATATGTGCCATGGTTGGAATGCAAATTAGTTCAACCATTGTGGAAGACAGGGTGGTGATTCCTCAAAGACTTAGAACCAGAAATAATATTTGACACAGAAATCCCATTACTGGGTATATGCCCAAAGGAAGACATATTTTCTAAGAAGAACAAACTTGTCAATTGACATTTTCCTGCCAATGTGACCATGTAACTTAAACACTGCCTATGAAAACCAATTTCTGAGAAATATTACAAATGTAGTTTGCAGTTTAAACAATAAATACTTTTCATGTGGTTTACTTGGAATCAGTGAAATGACGGACAGCAGAGTTATGTAAACATGTAATTCCATTGTAATTTTTACCACTTATTAACCAACTTCATAATTAGTATTAAATTATGTCATGTAAAATGTTTATGTAAAATTAAATTATGTTTAGTAAAAATTATTTTGTCAACACAGTATCCTTCACAACAATATGATGAAAAAGCTTAAAAGTAGCATTGGCTATCTTTGAATTAAATTCTTACATTTCTGTCTTCTGTTACATGAAACTGGAATTTTCATAATAACATACAATTTATGTTGGTAGAGCATACTAAAAATGGTTCACCTCTAAGTGGAATAGCTTCAATAATTATGAACATAATACTTCTTAATTTCACTATGCACATACCATGTAATGAACAAATTATACAGCCTTAGGTTCTAAACAGTCCTCAATGATTGAAGGATGCCATGAGAATAAAAATGTGGGCCCTGCAACCAGAATAAGTAGTCTCAGTCCAAGGCTTGTTGAACAAGGCAGAGTATGCACATGTGTATTATTGGAATGATTTAGCAAAATTATCTGCTAGTTATGTATTCTAGGGGCTCACACTCACACCTACAAGGTCCAAATTTCCAGTTTTACTCTTCAATAATACATAAAACACAAAATTCATTATACTATATACAAAACCCTGAAGATAATGCCAATATGTTACATTTTTAAGTAACCAGAAAATAAAAATCACTGAAATAAGCTACTAGGTTAGCCAGTTAAGCCTTTAGGAAGTTTCAAGTAGCTTCCTTTTTCCAGCCTCAAAATTGTCAATAAAACTTATTAGCAATCTTATTTATGATACATTTATTTTAAAATACATAATTTAGTAGATATTATGTAGTAGTGTCATGTAGAGGCAGGAATATTGTTAGATACCTGCAAGCATCTCATCCCAACCATATAACAACACAGCAATACATCAGCAGAAAGCAAGATCTCAATTTCACCAGCAAGAAAACTCAGCAAAACTACTAAGCCAAAAGTGCTTCAAACAGCAACAAGATCAAGATAACTGATTTAAATGGACAAAGGAAATGAAAGCCATTCATGAAAAGATGAAAGGGTGATAAAACATGACATAACATATGAAGATCATTTAAACACCAATGCCATAACCAGATACTGCTTCAACACGCAAAATCCATTTAATGACAGAGGAGACAAAAATAATTGAAGAGGGAATAGGGTGGAGGTATTCTCCCACAGGTAACTACAGCTCTTGCTTATCCCCTCTTCAGAAAAAGGAAAGAAATCACTTCTGGCTGGTGTCAGTCAGAACTAAACCTTTATGAACTTCTCCCAGAACATCAGCACAGGAATCTCATATTTCAAAAACAAGCTGTGTGTGCTCATACACACATTAGATCTATGAGGGAAGGAGAGAGGTGTGTGAAAGAACAGAAGCCTGGTGTTCAAGGTCATTCTCCTCTTGAAAAGAGAAAGGGAAAAAAATGTCTAAAAGAAATTATCCAAGGTACAGGAATCAAACGACAACTTCTTTTCACCTATCTGCTTATGCTTGTTCTTATAGATATCCTATTGTTCTGTCCCTATTAATAGTGACTAAAAGAGGGCTTACAAAGAAGGAGGCTTTTGGCTGGGAAATGTCCTATCAATACCTGAAGTGTTAATTCATCAATGAGTCAGGCTAGTGAGCCAGGCCAGCTCTATCTAAAGACAATTCTTAGCAAGGACAGTGGACTCAGATTTTCAAAGTAACTTGTACCCTCTCCATTTTTCCAGAAAAGGGAGAAGAAAAAGGTAGCAGAAATCTTTTCCCCCCCTTAGGAACCTCTATGCATGTAACCGTGTGCTAGTAGTTCTATTTAGTTATGACCTTTAACCTAAGTCCAATCCGCACCAATGAGTGACATTTTCAAACATGCATCACACCATCATCTGTTTAGGTTTCTGAGCATTCAGCATCCATTTTAATGCGTTTGCTTTGCCCTCCCTGAGGCTGAAGGTGGAAGAACAAAGCTTAACCTGCAAAAAATCGAATCCTTAGTGGGAAAAGGCCAGAAGAAAGTGAAATAGGTGGGAGGTGGTGAAAACACCTTATTTTCCAAGAACCTATATTCACCAGCATTTCTTTTTTCTTGGGCACTCTCTAGATAGGTATAACTTACTTGCTAACAAATATTGTAAGTATGATATCAATACTGTTGTAATAGTACTCTGGGGTAATTTGGGAGGACAAAGTGGTGTCCTTGTCAGACGTTTAGAATACACAAATCAGATTTCTAAGATTTTCTGA